AAAAATCCGCGAGAGTTGAAGGCTAAAAGCTGCGAGCCTTTTCGCCGGGCAAGGAATGCGGCAGCGAGTCCAGCATTCCAATGGACTCCTCGAGAAGCGCAAAGCCCGGTCAATCAGAGGAGCCTTGATCCCTTGACCCATATAGGCATGCATTCTTGTTGGACTTGTTGGAGAACCTGGAAGCCACGAACCTGAATGCGAACTCATTGCCCAAAACCGCGGCATGCCTATCTGCACATGTCTTTTTTACTGCCTAAACCGTGCTACCGAATAATAAACCGTCCCACCTAATACCAAGAAAACATGAGGGTTTTTATTATTAGGGTCCCCTGGTTTTTGGTCAGACCTGCTTCAGATTGGCTTGTTTAGTCTCGGGTTCCAACTGCAGAAGTGGGACTTGTTTGATTTGCAAGAAAAGTGCTCAAAAGGCAATGTCTGAAAAAGAACTTTGAAGACAAGACGCCCAATACAAAGCAGTTGTTTATGCAGGGTGGGACTCCTCGCCGCCGTGCAACTGTCTTCACTTTTGGCACACCCGCTCATGCGTATCACGTCATATCTGCGCGCATGCTGGCCAAATGTTAAGCACACCCGCTCACGCGCATGGTGTCATAAGTGCACAAATGCTGGCACATGATACGCACAGCCGCTCACGCGCATCGTGTCATAAGTCCACGCATGTGGCAGATGATAAGCACAGCCGCTCACGCGCATCGTGTCATAAGTGCGCACATGCTGGCACATGATAAGCACATCCGCTCACGTGCATCGGGCACATGATAAGCACACCCGCTCACGCGCATTGCGTCATAAGTGCACACATGCTGGCACATGATAAGCACACCCGCTCATCATGTCAGAAGTGCACACATGCTGGCACATGATAAGCACACCCGCTCAAGCGCATCATGTTATATCTGCGCACATGCTGGCCACATGTTAAGCACACCCGCTCACGCGCATGGTGTCATAAGTGCACAAATGCTGGCACATGCATCGTGTCATAAGTGCACACATGTGGCAGATGATAAGCACAGCCGCTCACGCGCATCGTGTCATAAGTGCGCACATGCTGGCGCATGATAAGCACATCCGCTCACGCGCATCGTGTCATAAGTGCACACATGCTGGCACATGATAAGCACACCCGCTCACGCGCATCGCGTCATAAGTGCACACATGCTGGCACATGATAAGCACACCCGCTCATCATGTCAGAAGGGCACACATGCTGGCACATGATAAGCACACCCGCTCAAGCACGTCATGTTTTATCTGCGCGCATGCTGGCCAAATGTTAAGCACGCCCGCTCCAGCGTATCATGTTGCAAGTGCACACATGCTGGCACATTATAAGCACACCCGCTCACGCGCATCGTGTCATAAGTGCGCACATGCTGGCACATGATAGGCACACCCGCTCAAGCGTATCATGTCATATCTGCGCGCAAACAGGTCCGAAAACTTTTCGACGTTTGAGGAGGGGATGCTAAACGTTTGTTTCGCCTACGCGAAATACTTCTTTTTGGGAATCTGCCCTGCGAAAACCCATATAAAATGCATTTTGCTGAATTCTTGGCTGCGGGAGAGAACGTGGCAGGCGTGGGGGACGGGCGATGTCGGTCGATGTTCTTGTGTTGTGGTTTCGCTTGCCTTCCACGGCGGCGAGGCGTTCCACCACCCTTGTTTATCTGTGCTTTTCTTAACCACCCCAATTGATAAATATGGTTTGAGGGGGGCAGATAAGGTAGGGAAAGGGGTGACCCCTAATAGGCACATTTGGGGATTTACCGGGCTTCCCGAGAGTTTCGTCTTGGATAATTTAGAACTAGTATTGGCAATTTTGGAAATCGGCTCCTTTCTTTTGTTGGGGGGGGTCCGTTTATAAAAGGCAAGGTTGGAGTATTGACCTATTGACTCGTCTATTTATTCATCTACCCATCATCCACACATCTACCTGTATATACATCTATTTATCTACCCATCCGTCTGTCTATCTAGCAATCTGTGCATCTCCGCATCTGTGCATCTATACACGTAATTGTCTATCTGCGTGTCTGCTATCTATCTGTCTATCTATCTATCTATCTATCTATCTCTCTGTCTGTCTGTCTGTCTGTCTGTCTGTCTGTCTATCTATCGAAATTATCAATCGGACCTGTTCATTTGTCTATCATGTTTGTTTGTCGACAAGCATAGTTTTGCTATCTCCATTAGTATTTCTGCATTTCTTTCGTTATTTCTTCTTTTTTATGTAGTATCTTTAGTTATCTTGTTCTGATTCATGTGTTCTTTTCAGTGTTTTATTTGTTTCCGTTCTTACGTTTGTCTTTCTCTCTCCCTCTCTGTATTTTGTAATTCTTGTGTTTTTTGATATGTCATTTCAATTTGTCAGCTTTGTGTTGTCCGTCCGTCCTTCGTTCCTTTCTTCCTTCCTGCCCGCCCGCCCGCCCGCCCCCACACCCGCCCCCCCGCCCCCCCGCCCGCCCGCCTGCCTTCCTGCCTGTTCCTTTCTTTTCTTTCTTGTCTTTTTATACTTCTTTCTCGCTGTGTTTCTTTCATCTGATTGCTGGTCTATCTTCACAGCTCGCTCACTATCTATCTGAATCTATCTATCTCTCCATCTGTCCACTCACATCTACTTAGTTGTCCAAGCAATCAATCGCATCAACCAACTCGAATATCATATCTGTCTGAGCATATCTATCCGTCTATCCTTGCGTCGGTCAATCTACCGGTCTATCTGTTTTGTCTATCCATCTCTCTATCTGTCTGTCTGCGTGTCTCCGCGCCTCTCTGTCTATCCACAAGATCCGCCTTTCGAATCACAGTGATTCGCGAAACATGAATGCTGGTTGCAAGAAAGCTCCCTGCCTGTACAAAACACATGGGGTTAGTTGCATGCCGATTTGTAGCAGGACTCGGAAGTACAAAGCTAATTCCAAGGTTAAGTTGTGGGTTGTCAAACCCAGAACCAAGAGGTCCGGTTGACTCGGCATTGCAGGTAAGCTTTCGCGCGTGCAGCCTCCTTCCCGCCAACCCGGTTTTGGGATCCCTTCCGTCAGGCTCTTCAGCAAGCTGAGCTGCCCTAAAACTCAGGAGGCTCATCCAGAACAAAAAGAGCTGCCGCGGCCTTCGTTGGATTCCCTGTCCACGGGGAACCACTGCTGAGGCCTTTCTTTGGCTGGGGCCGCTGGAACCTACGGCCTTCAGGATTCAGCCCCTGTTTGCTGGGTGGCAAATGAGGGCAGGAAAACCCTCCTTTGCTCGGGACTCGGCTTTCCCCCGTTGAACATCGCTCCACTTGCGCCCAAAAGACCCGAAAGGTGATAAACCGTCCAAGGGGCACAACAGATCCCCCAACACAGAAGATGCCCAACAAATGGGGGATCATGGGTAACTAAACCCCGTTTACTGGGGAAAGTCGACAGAAATACAGGGATCCTGACATTATACACCTGAACATTGCCTTGTAAATTGTGTTTTCCCTTTATTTTGGTGGAAAAAACCATGTTTCAAATGGTGGCAAAATGTATTTTTTAAGGAGCCCTGAAATATGGTGGTTGTTCTTTGTTCTTCTTTTTTGTTCTGGTCATCCCATGTTTGCAGCTCTTGATCAAGCCCCAGGTAGGGACTGCTCCTCAAGAAAACTCCATTTGGCACGGAGAAACGGATTGAGTCGGCCAACATTTTCGGCACACCTCACACTCATGGAAGTTTTCACAGGAAGTGCTTCGATCGTTAAATGTTTTTATCCAATGGCAAATGCTTGGAAAAAATGGGTGACGATCGATCGGTTTTCAGCCATCTGAACAACCTCTTAAGGGATGCTTGTTGGATAGCCGATACATCTGTGAAACAACCCACACACCAGAAATCCATGGAATAATGACAAAGCTACAAACAGGCCTCCTGCTACCGTCATCACCCCTCAAGTGGTAGACGCAAGGAGCCGTGATAACCCGAACAGTCAAACTCATGGACTCCGACACACGCAGGTGGCGTCGGGCCTTCAGATCGGATTGAAAGCCACCCATGGGGCTCATGAAGCGATGACCAGTACTCACTTCCTAACACCCTTTAGGCTGGTGAAAGACACCTTGGCTTTAATCTCCCGCCACCCTCCCCCAAAAGAGGGAGAGGTCCCAAACGGGGACAACACAAGGCAACCTGGCTCAAAATCCCGTCGCTACTCCACCCCAATATCCTCAGCCTTCTTGTTCACGAGATATGCACCATATGGAGCCTTTATATGAATTTCAGCTTCCCTCTCGATTGTTTGGAGCCGAACCGGTGGTTTGGCTGGTGCTTTTTGGCATGCTTTCCCCCAAAAAAAAGAAAAACCGGAGAAAATAATTAAGAAACAAAAGAAACGAAACAGATAAGAAGGAAAAAACAACGAATTACAGGAACCAGGCCAAATCCCCTCCAATCCAAAGCACCCGGAGGTCCCGAGCCCCTGAGACCCGAGAGAGCCGGACACTCCGGCTCCTCTTTGCCCACCCGGGGCGTGTCTTTCAAGGAGTCCACCGAGTCGGAGTCGTTGACCTCCTGGCGTCCCATATGCCCTCAAGGCTCTGTTAGGCTCTAAGTACACAACCCTTTGCGGGTTGCCCAAGTGGGCCGGCCCATGGGCAAAGGTTTTCTGGGATAAAAAACCCGCCGCTTGCGCCAACACCCGCCAAGGCGAAGGCCGGAGCGGTCAGGCTAGAAGTAGCACTTTTTTGACCAACGCACAGCGCCTAGCCCTCAAGAAAAAGGAACAACATCACCCGTCAAACATCTGCACTTGTGTCTATTCTTGCCAAAACCTGGAATAAGAATGGGATCCCGAAGTAAAGGATCTGTACCATGGTGAGATCTCGTTTTACCCCCGGATCGGTGTGCTCGCCATAAATTTAAGCAGAACAAGAAGGGCCCCAGCAGCCCCCAGCAACAGGTTTCAGAACAGAACTGGGGGGTGTCGGGCATTGCAAAAGAAGGGGTAAGGTGCTGGCGTCTGCCAGGTTATTCGGCTCGATCGTTTAGAACAATATGTTTTCTGATTTTAATCTAGAACTAGTCTGCCATACAATGCAATGTATTCTTGGAGGAGGCCCAACAATGTCCTCCCAGCTGCTGATGTTACAGCTTTTTGAACGTGATGCCGAAGCCAAGCTGATCCACGCACCCACTTCATCGCAAACAACCCAAATGCCGCCCGAAACAGCGGCTGAAACTAGCCGCAACCTTATGCCACCATACGCCTATCTAACTGCGCACCACCACCCGATCAAGTCTACTGCAAGACCTCAAATGGTTCGAACGGGGTTGTTGGGTACATGTAGCCAAATTCAGGCATGACCATACCGTCCATGGACATCATCCTGCACCAATTCGGAACACCACCGGAGGATTTGTCCATGCACAGTAGAGCTAGAGGTTAGTAATCGACCCCTCAGAAGCCAACCCAACCACAGTCACGCTCCCAAACTTGCCTCTGTTCCGCGGATTGGCTTGGGCCAAATTTCACATTTGGAGCCCTTTCGCAACAGTATCCCTGTGTAGCTTCCAGATTGCGAAAGGAACTCCAAACTTGATCGCGATGAAAGCACCCTGCCGCAAATACCATCCTCAAGGGGATCGTGTCAGCCTCCAACTAATCACAAAGATATTTACAGTGGAAAACCTGGCTTTTAACCAATATCCTTATGAAATCAAGAGAGCTCGTCACTGTGAGGGTGCGCGTGTTTACCTTTTGCATGCCCACAAGTTGCTTCAAGTGCAACTAACGGGTATGTCTGACAGAGACAGGAGCACATTTTTATGGTACGTGTTTAGCAGGCTTGGCGTAAAAAAAAAAAACATGTAATGTGTAAAACGTGATTGCAACACAGATCGAGCATGACACTTTGTTCAGGCGCATATGGTTGTTTCTTTCGATTGTTTGGATAACTTGAATTCTTGCATTGTGGAAAAGTGCGACACACCTTTAGCTTTCCAAAAACAAGTTGGCCTTCGGGCCTCTTTGCCGCGGAACCCGCTTCGCTTGCAACGTGGCAAGCAGTGCTTCTTTAGCTTCTGTAGTAGCACGATAAGCCTGATAGCATAGTTAATTGACTGAGTTCTAGGCAGGAGCATACCAAAGAAGCTAGTTGAAAGGACGGGCAGACACTGCCGTGCGCAAACTGGCACCGAGATGCGTAACACAGTTAACCCTCCATGAAGGCTACGAGCTCTTGTCCTTTGCTCTTTAGCTCCCAGGAAGGGGCCGGAGAGAGATCCAAGCCGAAGCGGTTCTGGAAGGGCGGGACTGTCCATCGGAAGTTTCTGGGCGACTGAGGAGGGGCTTCTGGCTTCCAAGAGCAGGCACTCAATCCGAGACAAGCTTTCGGGCACACTGCGCACATCGCTGGCTTTTCCTCTGACGTCCCTTCAAAGCCACCGGCATGCCGCTGACCAACTGAGTCACGAGAAACTCCTGGTCTTAGAGAGGTGTGCCCTAAACCATGTAAAGAATCAAGAACCCTTCTTATGACGGGAAGCCTGGATTAAGAAACCCTTTCCTTGATTAACAGGGGGGTGTCCCCTTGTAGTGGTGGTTCAGACCACTTTTGGAGACCACCATTTGCTATAGGATGAGCTTATTACTGCGGGGCCGACATTGACAGCTTCTGCAATTGGTGGTTTGGTGGTTAACGAGGGGTCTCCCATTTACCCTCTACAAGCTGCAGGGTTCCAATCCCCAGACCACCAACGCAACCACCAACTAGGAGGCAGGAGAAACCAAACGGAAAACCCGTTGCATTTTTGGGCTGTCAATCCCAAAAATGAAACAACATAAATAAATGTACAGTAGTGATAGGTTGATTCCCTTCAAAACCAAGAAGGGGAAAGAAACTAAATCTTCTGAACCGCAAATGGAAGCAACATCACATCTTCTGGGGCTCTCGATTTTGAGTCCATACCACCAACCCAGCTGGCAAAAAAAAAACATGTGCAGTCATAGATTCCCGTTAAAACCAAAAAGGAGAAATCAAAACATCTAGGTCCTCCAGTAGGGGTGTTAGAATGAGGCTAGCCTTTTCTTCTGTAGTCTATTTTAGTAGAACCGAATCTCCCAGCCAAAAAAAGAAAGGGAGAGACAAAAGTTGGCCCCTAGCTGGGCCTAGACACCTTCGTTTCAGCAACTCGCCAGAGTTTCCTGCTAGCGCCCCTACCCCCACCTGCGCCCCGGACCCGGAGACCCGGAGGTCGGGCGGCCAAGCCTCGTCGCTCAAGAGCAAGGCTGGTGGCTCCAGCAGCGGCTCCGGTGCGCGGCTGGGCGCCTAGTGGGTTTTGGTGTTGGTAAATTTGTTGGTTTGGAGGTGTTTGGTTGTTATTTTCTTGTTGGAGTCTTCTTATTATTATTATTACTATTAGTATTATTATTATTTTATTATTATTATTAATTATTATTAGCATTGTTATTGTTATTGTTACTATTCGTATTATTATTATTATTGTTATTTTTATTCCCCCAGATAGCTGAAAGCTATAGGGGTTCTAACTTCTAATAAAGAAGAGAAAGTGATTTGCGAGATTGAGGGCTGGGTGCTAGGGGGTAGTTTGGGGTGCTGGTGGAGGTGCTGTTTTGCGAGCTTGACGGCTGGGTGCTAGGGGGCATGCAGTTTGGGGTGCTGGTGGAGGTCCTGCTTTGCGAGATTGACGGCCGGGTGCTAGGGGGCATGCAGTTTGGGGTGCTGGTGGAGGTGCTGCTTTGCGAGCTTGACGGCTGGGTGCTAGGGGGCATGCAGTTTGGGGTGCTGGTGGAGGTGCTGTTTTGCGAGCTTGACGGCTGGGCGGTAGGGGGCAGCAAATGGCGGTGCTCGTGGATGTCGCGTCATTCAGTTTGTGGTGCTGGCGCAGGTGCTGGGGCGCTGTTTGATAGAGGTGCTGGTGATGGTGCAGGCGCATGTGCTGATGCAGGTGCTGTTTTGGGTACTGTATTGCCGGCGGGGCCTAGGGGGTATGCAGTTTGGGGTAGTGGTGCAAGTGCTGTTTTGGTTGTTGATTGAGATGCTGCTGACCAATTTTCCAGACAACTGGAAGCCATAGGGGTACTAACTTCTAGTGAAGAAGGGGAATCGTTTTGCAAGATCGACAGCTGGGAGCTAGGGGGGCACGCACTTTGGGGTACTGGCGCAGGGGCGGTTTTGGGGTGCTGTTCGGGCTGGTGACAGTACGTGTCGGCAAGGTGCTAGGGGACATTGAGGTGTTGGTGACGGTGCGGGCGCATATGGACGGCAGGGTATCGTGGTTGTGGCATCATCATGATGCCGTCCGCAGCACCATGATGCTGTTGAACAGATTCGGACGTTGTTGCTGCTCTGAATGTCGTGAGTAATGGTTCGTGGTTCGTGGCTTGTCAGCTGCTGTCACGGCGATGCTGCAGTATGGTTCGTGGGTGTGGTGGCGCCACGATGCTGTCAACATCAGGATGATGCTGAACCTCATTATGCTGTCGCAAGATGAATCGTGGCTGTGGTATCATCATGATGCTGCCTTTACCATCACCATGGTTCTGTTAGCATCACCATGATGCTATCCGCATCATGGTGGTGCTGTCCGCATCATCATCACCATCATCATCATCATCATCATCATCATCACCACCATCATCACCATCATCACCATCATGCTGTCGCACTCATCAGGACGTCGTCTCTGCCTTTTGTCTGCTAGATATGTAGCGCGGAATCGTTCGTGGCTGGTTGCATCAGCGTGATGCTGTCAACATCACCATTATGCTGCTGAACTCATTAGGACGTTGTCTGCGCTGCGCGTCCATTTAGCGCACCATGCTGAGCGGCTGTGGCATCATCATGATGCTGTCAACATCATCATGATGCTGTCAGCGTCATCATGATGCCGATGGAACCATTATGATGCTGCGTCATGAATCAGAGCCGTCTTGTGCTATCTGGGGTCTATGCTTGTGTATTTGCTATTATTATGTTTAATTATTATTATTATTTTGATGATTAATATTATTAGTATTAATATTATTATATTACTATTATTATTGTTATTATTATTGTGATTAGTATTATTACTATATTATTACTATTGTTATGATTATTGTTATTATCATTATCATTATTATTATTACCATTATTATTATTATTAGTATTATTATTATTATTATTATTATTATTATTATTATTATTATTGTTATTATTATTATTACTATATTATTACTATTGTTATTATTATTGGTATTATCATTATTATTATTATTAGTATTAGTATTATTATTATTATTATTGTTATAATAATTATTACTATATTATTACTATTGTTATTATTATTGTTATTATCATTATCATTATTATTATTACTATTATTATTATTATTAGTATTATTATTATTATTGTTATTATTATTATTACTATATTATTACTATTGTTATTATTATTGGTATTATCATTATTATTATTATTAGTATTAGTATTATTATTATTATTATTATTATTGTTATTATTATTATTACTATATTATTACTATTGTTATTATTATTGTTATTATCATTATTATTATTAGTATTATTATTATTATTATTATCATCATATATTATCATGTTGTTTCTGTTGGTTAGTTTTGGTGGGCCTGAGGTTGGTCTATTTGTTTGGCTTTGGGCTCACCACTTGAAAGCAGCAGCCCTTGGAATCACAAACACCGGAACACTGTTGGCCACAAATCCCTCCCGTTGGTCATGCCAAAGTGTCTACCAATTTAAGAACTCATATCCGACAATGTGGCTCCGACCTAAAAAAGTGTTTCTGACCGTACTCCAAAAAAGCAAGCTGGAATTCACAAGCGGACGCACACATATTGAATGCGCGCTTGGTAGTTTCCTCATATTGTCCGCAGATTGAGAAGCTTGCAGTTGAGAAACCACCAGAAAGCCAGGCACAAAAACCCGAAAATTGTGGAGCGCTTGGACCAGGACCCAAACATTTGTTTGTTTGGGAGTTGGAACAAGCCCGTCACCAACACAAAGCAAATCCAAAGAAGGAGGGTAACCTGGGATTTCTAAGGGCACCGTTCTCGGACGCATTGGTTGTCCTTTACGGTGTCCGGCCCTCATCTGTCACCTATCCTGGCTCGGTAAGGAGCCAGCAAGCCATGGTGAGAATCTACATTCGGGGTCCAAGGCTCTGGCTTTTGTACGCAAGTGTACAATCACTGCAGAAGTTGCGTCGATTTCAGCGGTGCTTGTAGTGGCATTACTGGAAGCGTTTGCTGAATACTTGGTTTCAGTCTCAGAGAATGTGGCCAGAGCACTCATTGAGCACTTGAAGACCTTGCCGCCAAGCAAGGCCATGTTTCGGCTGGCAATGAACCGTACCCCTGGAACGCCACTTGCCAGATTCGATGCCCCTCCTGAAAGACTGAACTAGGTGTGGATGAAGCAGCGGACTGTGACGGCTGGCATTCTTGAAGGGGCTTTCAATTGAACATGCGCTGCAAACGCTATTTGTCCACAAAAAACGCGCACCCGAAGATTATGGTTGTCCTTTTGGTTTCCCATTGAACTAGGTTGAAAGAACACCCAACCGAATTTCAGACGCATTTTTCATGCTGCGTAGTTGTTTTTGGAGAAAGCTGTCTCAGTCCACAGGTGCGGTCTGAGTGATTCGGAGCCGGAGGTCCGCTAGCAACCAGAGGCGCTGTGCTGCCCCCCCTCGTGCTGAGGACGTGGCCAGTCGGATAAGTTTGTAGTGGTGAAGCTGTGCCATAGACAAATCAGATTCCAAACCAAACAAATCGCATGCTGCGACTGAAAGAAGGGTCCCGACCAAAGTGCAGCTCCAAAGCAGCGAGTCGATTCCAAGCTTTGTTTTTGAGGATGGCGCTTTCATGGACCCAGTTGTACTAAGATCAATGATTCCATTGCACTCATGTTTGGCTACCCAAAAAGGTGCCTGCCATTTTATTCAACTAACTTTTGCATCCTTTTCCTGGAACAAGTGGGCAGTGCGCACAGCGTGCTGCACAGCGTGCTGCTCAAAACCCACCCACATGAGTGGCGCCAAAACTTGAAGGCTCTACCTGGTTCATTGGGGTTGAAGTAAAGCCTGTCTAAACCTTTATAACCACGTTAGTAGAACCAAAAGTTAATCATTTTGGGCGCTGCTCAAATGCTGCTTTGAGCCAAACCTCGATTAAATTTCATGTACCAGGAAAACACCCTACTTTGAGACCCCCCAGTCCGAAAAGGGGCATGCTTAAAAAAGTGGCCTACAAGTAAATACAACAAGTTCTCATCCAAGGAACTTTCAGGTACATCCGAAGCCACTTACGAGCCGCCTCCAAATTCCTGGGTACCTGTCTGAGTGCATAAAAAATCCTCACCATGGCTGCAAGATTTTTACTTCCCCTCCCTTTCCCTCATAGTATTTGAGTGTGTTTCATTCTGATTGTCTATGCTATGAGTAATGTTAACCCCGGATCAATAAACCCCTGGCTGATTAATCGGTGGGTGTCTCCTAGTGGGGATTCAGACCACTTTTGGAGGGAACACCCCCCTAATGGGACGGGTTATTTAATCATGACTTTGAACATCTTTTCATCACCCACACAAAGGCCGCGAAAGCCGCCGCAAAGCCGGCCGCCGAAAGGCCTGCCGGGTGGCGGCGAGCGGGCCGAGCGCGCCCGGCTCTGCCAAAGAAGCGCGCTTGTCTGAGTCCACCTGGGAAACCGAAGGGCAAGTCACACATGCTACACGCGGATAGGGTATACACCGAATACACGGATGCTACACGGTGTTATTGATGCTCGTGGTGATCATGCTATGATATGTGTGGGACGTACGCTGCCAATGTGGCAATGTGGCATGCGTGTGAATGGCGTGCTTTGAATGATATGCATGGTTTGCACTTGTACGTACTTAGGATCAAACAAACCGCTTCTGAGGTTGCAATACATAGGCCAGACGGGCCTTGTGGAGACCAGTTTCATGTTGACCGCTTTTTGTTTACTTGGTATTCTAGCCACCACTCTATTCGCAACAGCCTGGGTCTGGCTCCAAACATCATAAACTCAGCTTCCCCCCTTGGTGGCTGGGATTGGTGGTGGTTCGGGGGTGTTATGTTTGCCTACAAGAACCAAACCTCAAGTCCCAAACGACCAATGCAAACCGAGGGGTTATCTGAAGGTGCTGGGATGTGTTCGTATGTTGCCCCCTTGGTCCATTGCAATCTCTGCGCAAATGAAAGACGCCTTGCGCCTTGCATTCCCGATTGACCAAGGGGAAGAACAAAACAATACCAGCGCCGAAAGAAAGAACGCTTCAGTCGTGGTTTAAGGCTAGCAATACGTTTGGCGTGTCGCTTTCCCTCAATCCAGTAATTGAGGTCCTAAACTATCTAGAGTAGCATGTACTAAGACAACAATGGAAAGACCTACTGTTCAATGTACGACAACTCTTCTAGGTATGAACAAAAAGTAGTAGTAGGGGCACTACTAAATCCTTGGAACTTTCTACATGACATATATATATATATACTTGAATTACACCTGATGTAGTAATCGCAGGTAGCGTGTGTTCTACAAGATATCCTGTAGGGCACCTATGTGAAACATTGCTACAAGCAGTTGTTAATTGGCGTCTTTGCTGAAGTGGTATTTTCTACTAGTATAAACACAGACAAAGTTTATGTTCCTCAGCCATGTTTCAGCGGGTTCCCTAAGGGTGGCTTTGAGTTCCATGCTTCATGTCCCCCTCCCCCCAAAAAAATAAATAAGGAAAATCATTCCAGCCAGTTTCGCTGTTTTTGCAAAGCAACAAGTGCCGCTCCAGCCATCAGAGTGCCACGCAACAAAATGTTTCAGGAAGGCACTCAGTCTCTGGAGGGCGCATTCTGATCGCTGGGTCTCCGGGCGTGCTGAACGGCGCAAGTCTGCCTCTTGAGCAACTTCTTGCAGTGCATGGAACTCAAGGCAAACCTGAGCGTGCAGATGTGAACACAGAATCTGGCCCCCCACAAATACACACACACACAACCACATTTTGCCTTGCTTCCTACAACCCAAAAATGCCCACCTTCAAAATGTGTTCCTTCCAAAACGGGGTCTAGTTTCTATGTTCGGATTGTGTCTTTCCGAAAGCAAATCTGATTTCCCAGTAAGGTGCTAACCGCAACATCGCAAAGGCCTCAAACAGATCGCTGGAGCGGAACCAGATCTGTCGAAGGGATGCGATCCAAGCTTTGGATCGCAGTAGAGTGCAACTTGCGCACTCTCGGCTGGCTGATCCGAGGATCATCACATCCAAACATCCCAAGGAGCTCTCAAAGGGAAGATTGGCGCTTCCCTTTTTGGAACCTGAGGTGCCGCATTTGGAAGGGGCCATTGAAAGGGCCACGCATTCTAACAACCCTTGACATCGAGCCACAAACTGACATTTCGGCGGGGCAGGGGGTTTCTGAAGGCATAAGCGACCTATTTCCAAAGGCACAAGTGAATCAAAGCGACTGTTGAAACTTGAAAAAAAAACACAAAGACACCACAAAGCAGAAGGAGCCGCAAGTGGCGCGGTCGCCACGTCTGTCATGGCTGTTGCTCACTGAGATGTTTGCCTTCACTGACCTGCGCCGGCAATCCTGCCAGACACAAATTGAACGCCGGCCTTTTCCAATCACACACAGCTTGCTGGAGACCCTTCAATGCGCTCTTGACTCTTCTAGAGCAGAAAATGTTTCTTCTTTGTGTATGGCTTAAAGGAACATGTCAGGCTGTTCCCCGTTCTTTTCATCGTCCATCTCCCCAATTCCTCGAACTCTGAAGCTTTGCACATCTGAAACCAAGTAGCCAAGTTCAGAGCGTGGCAATCCTTACACTCCCTTCTAACAATCCCTGCTTCTCACAAAAGGGGACCACGTTTTCGAGGGGCTCCATAAACCACAATCTAAGAATCCCACATGAACTCGTTACTTGTTTTATGGATTGATCCCGCAATGTGGGATTCATAGGATGCCCAACCCTCCCCACTTAAAACCCCATGTTTCTTTATGTGAATTGGCCGTTAGCAGGGCCGCGCTCATTGGGGCCTCCCTTGGGGAAACAAGAACGGGGCGAGGAATTGGGCTCAAGGTGATATGATGGATTGCCCTGAACGTGCAGCCAGCCCCTTTCTGGGCCAATGTGTTTCCAAAGTCCACGGATCCTTATCCCGACATAGTTCATTAGTAGTTCTGACCCCTCTGAAGCAAGAACCCCCCCACTCAAGAAACCCCTCCGAGCCTTGATGGACTGAAAAAACCGCGGGGAGGCAGCTTTGAGCTGTCGACGAACTCCAAAGGCGGTGACGTCGCACCCCTCGCCCCTCGAACTCCGAACAATCTCCGGGCGGCACATCGGCGCTGGTGCTGGCGATGGCGTGTGTGTGGCCTGGCGGCGAGACGCGCACGGATTTTGGCAACCCCCGGCAAACGGAGGATTTTGGGCCTCTTCCCTCATTTTCCATTTTTACTGGGCGAAGGGGCCGAAATTCGCAGTGGAGTCTGCCCTTCCCTCATGTTCAACTCTTACTGGGCAGAGGGGCCCAAATTAGCCGTGGATTCATTCCGCCCTTTCCGCTCCTGAGCTGCAAACCACCAGACCTGTGGACAGCAAAGCTTCGAGCTGACACACCATGGGTCTGTTGAGGGACCCCGTGTTTGCTGGTTTTAAAGGGAACCCTCCCAAACAAAAACACGTCTTGGGGGTGCCCTAGAAAGCACACTCACACACACATATACCTGTTAAATTGCAACAATATATACTTAGTGGCTGTGTATTAAACCCCTCGAATTAGTGTTTTAGGGTTAGTAAAAACTTGGAGTTTACAGGCAAGCAAATTGAGCAATATGTTCCATATGAAGCCCTTCCTTGGAATCCTGCAGCTCCTTGCAAAACATGGGGCATGGAAGAAGCTACAACAAGGTGCGGGAACGCAAAAGGCAAGATTACGTTGTTGTTTTCATCCTTGCTTATTTCCATTTGCTTCAGCCCCCTGAAAACCAAAGAACAAAGAACAACTTCCAGTAGTGATAGACAAAATAAATAACACGAAAAAAACATCTCCTTCAGAAAATGGAAGCTTAGCTGCAGAAAGGGAATTGTGCCTGGATTCATGCATCCCTCATCCGCAAATCAGTGGCGCACCACAGGAAACCACAAGCGTGTTGAACAACCCAGACTAAGATCGAAAAATGTTCGGTCTCATTCGCCAGGCTAACCTTTGGGACCTTTACTAAAAGTGGACCAAAAAGCGAACACCCCAAAAGGCCAAAAGGTCGGTTTTTGAACTGAGTGGTCGCCTGTGTTGGTAGTCCCGCATGTGGAGCAAGCAATTGTTCGGTGTCACCCAACTCACTGGTTTCTTTAGCCTGACTAAACGGGGCCAGTATTGGAAAAGAAATAGGAACCTGCAAGGTTTACACCAAATTAAGCTGTTTGAACAAGATCTCTTTTGCGTTTCTTTTTGAGCTGCTTGCTTGCAGCGATTTTTCCTGGCGGGAATGGAGGGTTTGAGTCTCCCTTGGTCCCACATCCTCAGCCCCAAGAACTGTCCAACCAATTCCCAATCAGTCCGCGGAAACCATTTGGGGGGTGTCTCAAATAGGGGCCCAACATGGCCCAACCCCTTGCTTGCTTTTACAGGGAAACCAAAAGAACAGCACCAAAATGGGGGTCCCCAATTTTGGAGAGCGGAGCTTCCGAGACCCGAGCACGCGCTCTCCGATCTCTCACGCTGGAGAAACGTGTCGGGCGGACCGGCATCCGAGCCTGTGCCGGATTCCAAACCACTCGTGCCCACGGAGCAACAAAAGGGCGACCTTTTTCCCCATGGCCATAAGAGGTTTCGGTTGCAATGGAAAGGGGAGACTTTGCTCTCCCAGTTTTGGAGGCGTCCTCAACTTGGATGATTTGTTGCCCCTTACTTGCTCTGGTTTGCTTGATGAGAAGTGGCAAACAAGCTGTGGCCAGTGGACGTTTCAGAAGAAGCTCCCCAAGCACGATTGACTTCAAGGCTGGAGGGGGTCCCTGTTGTTTGCTAGTTTACCTGCATGGTTTTCGAGGTACGATTCATTTCCTAAATGTTAGAAAGTCAGTATTGACCCATTCTGCCACTTACACTCTTCAGGACATCTGGCCTCCACCCCTTACCTCATCTTGGAAGTCTTGGTGCCAACACCAGGAAAGGAGCCGGATCAAACTGAACTTCATGTTATATACTTGTAGTTTCTGCTCTCACGTTGGCGCATACGCACGAGCATCTTGTGGTCCGATTTAATTCCGATAAGGCAAACGCGCAGAAAGGTGCTCCTTCAGGCAATTCATGGGCCTTGCCAAGCCAACCTGGTCAGGAAGGACCACTCCCAGTAGAATGGGTCAGTGCCTCATTGAAGTACGGTTGTGGACAGTAAACCTTCTGTGATACCCGGAGTAAGGTTCCAAAGCCCATGACTGCTTTAGGCTATGTAAGGGGCCTGCCCAATAGCAAGCTTCAGCCACTTGTGCACAGTTGGCTACAACTATGGTCATGGAAAGGAAGAAGTCCGCCAACAATGTGAAACAAAAACATCAATACAAGCCACCGAAGCCTCCATTCCACATGAAATACATCTCTCGATTTCACCTCGAGTTTGCAACCTAAAGCCCACCTTATCATTTGTTTTCGTGAAAAGCAAAGGGCCCTTTCGGCATCCCCTGAGTTGAAAAAGGGAATCTGGGCATCTTCTTGGCGGGGTTCCCAAAAAGGGCCCCTCACTTCCGGAGATTGGCCAACAACGTCACTTTTCATGTACCACCAACATGGTCTGCCCAAAAAGTGACTAAAGTAAAGGAGAACTTGGGAAGTGAGGTCCACAAATTGTTCACAACACCCCATATACTTGTGTTTCACGGACCCAAGCTTGGTTGCCGACCCCTCTGCAAGTGCATAACTTGTTGTGGGTCTAATCTGGAAACCCCCTTGACCTCAACCGAACAGATAAAGTCCAAAGATCCCGGTTGCCCAGCAGTCAGGTTCAACCTCCTCCCATGCTTAGACTTAGGCCCCGTCATAGAACGTAGTTTCTATTGCTTGTTTCCCTTAGAGTCACTGGTAAAATGTAAAATGTATCCTAAGTTTACCCACTATTTGGCCATGGGTCAAAATCCAAATCGTACCCCCAGCGAACATCCCAATCCAACCACTAAAATAGGTTCTAAAATGTATCCTACGTCTACCAGCTCCCCCCCGGCTCCCCCCCCAACACCCATCGCTCCGCTCCGCTTCGCTTCGCTCGCGCTTCGAGCCTCGCTCGCCTCGGTTGGCTTGTATCCGGCGCGGCTCGCTGCCCTGCAGCGAGGCCAAGGTGCCGCTGCGCTGCTTGCTCAGCGACCCCCGGTGCTTCCTTGGATGCCAAAAGCCGCGCGGCGCTCGGAGCCGCCACAGTCGCGGCTTGGAGTTGAGACACGTAAAACCAGACCAGCCACGCAGAACCAAAAAGCACCAGCGGAAATTAGGAAGTAAGTGCTACAAAGTGGAGATATTGAGTCCAGAGAGCGGCCCGAAATCGCCAGTGATTTCTTCTTGCGGAGCTTAAGGATTCTGCACATCTCAATGGCTTGCTTGAAATTGCGGCACTTCAAACTTGCGGGTCCGCTTTTCATGTCCCTCACACAAACCAAAAGTCTACAGGGGAGTTGGAAAACCCTGTAAATGGCAATACGAAGCGATGCCTAATCCTTCCAAGGGAAACTTAGCTGAGTGTTTCTTGGTAGGCGTTCTTAAGGGACGAACTTGGAACCTGGACTCATGATCAAACATTGGGAAGCCAAAAGGTCGCAATGTTGTTTTGCCCCGGACAACTCAGTAGTTCATCAGCCTAAATCCGAAAATGGACGGAGAAAACACTTTCATGGAACATGTCGCACAGGTCATCAGATTCCACACTCCTTTGGTCCTTTTGGATGGCTCCAAAGAAACAACCAAAGAAAGACACTGCAAAAGGGCTATAACTAGAACCATTGGTTGTTGACCACGTACTAGGTAATGTGCGTGTGCGCGTGTTTGCTTGTTTATGCCAGTGTGTTTCTGTGTTTGCGCTTGTGTCTGTGTTTGTTAGTGTACGCGTGCTTTGCGCGCGCATGCGCGCGTGCGTGCGTGCGCGAGCGAGTCGGTGGGAGAGAGGGAGGGAAGGGAGGGGAGGGGAGGGGAGGCGAGGGGAGGCGAGGGGAAGGGAAGTGGTTGCCTGCCACAGTCCCGCACGTGAGACAGAATGAAAACCTAGTACCAAATTGGTGCACCCGGAACAATGCAAAGAATGCACCCATTTATGTTCTGGTTGGGGTTATCTCTTGCTGGCCTTCTACCGGGGTTTTGATTGTGGCTGATGTTGCTGTGGGGCAAAACCAATGGTACCATTTTGGGGTAGGTGCACCACCCATTTTAGTCTATAGTGGGGATTGGGATGTTCACTGGGGGTACGATTTGGCTTTTGACCCATGCCCATGTGGACGGAGGGAAAACGAAAAAATGTCGAATTGTTCGATTCGCTTTGGGCGCTCAGACCATCGAGCCGCTTCTCCGGCAGCTTCTCGGGCCTCTCAATGGCTCGTTCTGCGTGCAGGGCCTCGAACTTGTGGCACAAGCTGGACCTGACTCATGGGAAGGATGGCTCATGGCTCGGCAAAATCTTTAAGGGACAGGGTAAAGGGCAGTCTCAGCCTCCAACTTGGTTTGGATTATTTTGGCGGTTTCGAAGGGACATTCTGCAGACCATGCAATTGCACCCTTTGGTTCATAAGCCTTGGGTTGATGCCAAAACTCCCATGTGCAAAACATCTTTCTGGGTGAATCATGGTAATTCACCAAGGAGAAGAAAGTATGGTGCAAAACTCTATGAAAGGAGCCCTCCATAAAAATCGCAGGCAAGCCAAAGCCTATATATGTCGTGATTTTGTCTAGAAAAAGGAGTCCTGCAAATCCTCTTTGCCAGCCAGACAAGGGCTCCACACTTTTTGTGGGTCGCTTTATACTCCCAAAGCAGCTAAACTGAAAACCCCTGAATGCTGACGAAACCTTTGACTAGCTATGGGAAATCATTTGCGCCTCATCCGGATGACTGTATTCAGTCATGATAAACAGCATGATTTCCTCCCTCAAAGCGGAATTCACCACTCATTGGATGGGTATGAATGGGGCAATTCCGAATCATTTACCTCCAGACATGACAATGAAACCAACAAGTGACGGCAAACTGTCGTATTGCCAGCTTTGCACACCTTGCTCGGGTCAGCGGATGCTTTGGCTTGGCTCGTAGCTGCCATCTGTCTTCGCTGTTCAAATTAGGGAACCCCTGTTCAGGTTTGCTTCCCACATACGGGCAGAAGGGTTCCCTTTGCAAGAAACCAAGTAGGGGACCATATTCTTGGCAACATGCATGCTTCGCTTTCAAATCAAAGTGCCCGCAAACTACAGGTGTCACTGGATTCCCCGGTCAGACGTTGGCAGATAGAGGCTCACCGGGAGACAAACATGTAGTCATTATGTTGCAGCTTCATTGGACATTCACACTTTTTAGGTTGCTTAACGGGGACACCTGCAGGAAACCACCCATTTGTTGGTGGGTTCTCTTATTTTGACACATCCCCACATAGTCTCCACCTGATCTTTCCGAGTCGGATCCGCAGCAAGCCATCCCAAGGATTCAAATCGCCATTTGCAGTGTCTTGTTTGGGTTCCTCCACGTTAACAGCACTTGTCTGCATGCTTTCGTTGGTTTCCCCTGTTCGCAGCCCCCAACAAGACCGTTCGCCACCGCGAGAAACCGGGGGGCCTAATATCCCCCGAGAGCGAATTGACCTCCGAGCGGCAGGAGGCGCTTCACGTCCTGGCGGAAGTGAGGTGTCGATGGCAACCATCCGAAAGATCCCAGCCCCAAGTTGCCGATGCCGTGGAGCTACAAAGCTGAAGGCAGTTCTGTGACTCGGTTTGCTCCAGGCTGTGACAGGGACACTTCGCTTGGCGCTTGGCGTGTTGAAACAAACAGTCTATCATTTAGGAACTCAAGGTGTGGTGTGGTCTGGAGGCAATCTAGTAATATGGTGACCTGCATTGGCAAGGGGAAGGCATCAGCATTTTCATCCAAAAGGCGTAAGCACGGGGTCCTTGACTAGAAATCACGACCCAGCTCGCTCACTGTGTTGACCACAGTTGCTTCCCAGCAGCCGAAAACATGCTCAGAGCAGCGCAGGCGTTGTACCGATCTGCACATACTACTACAATTGAACCAGATTGAATTAAGGAATCTCTAAGTGCGGGATCATGGGGCCCACGCCGCTTTTCTCGCTGTATTTAGGTTCCCCATTTCACAGGTCAAGTGGGTGAAACTCTAAGCACGAAACTCTAAGCTCGAAACCACACGGCTGTGGGAATAAGGTCAGATTTTGTACTGTGACCCCATGGAGCATTGATAGCCAAACAATAAACACGGACCGCCCCCTGCAATTGGGCTACCCCAGATGTAGTATTGGGGACACGGCATTGTCAGCCAGTCTGGAAAAACAAGTATTTATTAATAGGGTCCATTCATTAGAAGGGGGGACGGATGAAAAGGTGAACCTGTCGTGGGTTAAATGGAAACTTCCACTAAAAAGAAAACGGCGAACAACCACGGCAGATTTGCATCTCAGAAGCGGCCCAAGGGGAAAAATCGCTCTCGATCCGGCCTCTTGGGCGTCCAGCAAACTGGCAAGCGCCGTCTTGGTGAAATGATCCTCCGGAGGCGGCAATCCTGCAGGTGGCTGCGTTGGAAAAGGGGAACACATAATGGGAAACTAGAAAAAATAATGGAGAAAATAGGGAAACATTGGAAAACAATTGGGAAAATAGGGGGAGACATTGGGAACATACGGGGAAAACATGGGGGGAGGAGCCATGTGGAAAACATTGGACACGCCAAAAAGTCCGGCAGAAGCGCTGGTATCAACTCGATTGGCTAACTGTCGAAACATAATTTTACCCCTATATAGACTGATCTTCCAGAGTACATCTTGGCCCAACTCCTTTCTAGACCCAAACGAACAGTTCAGATGCTTCATGAAAATGTTCTGGAGGCCCCCGCCTGCTCCAAACGGCACACAAGCACAAGCGTATGAACATGGGACGCATGGCACTGAAATTCACGCTGCCAGCCCCCCCCCCCCGGCTCCAAACTGCATTGGAATCCCCAACTGTTCCTGCTTTGAAATCCCCAACTGCATCCGATACGGATCAGGGTTATCCTCCCCATGACTTGGCCAAAGGGCTCCAAACCTCTGAACAGATTTCTACACTACGTGGATCCGTTCTTCACTGGGAGAAATCAATAGAGCTGCCAATTGTGTGGCGAGCTTTCCAGGGGTGAAAGAAGATTAGCAACAAGATGTATGTTCTTTATTTGGGGATCCTGTTTTTCAGAAGTCGGAACATATTGTAAAAATGCTGGGAAAAGCATGAGATGTCCAGTATTCAAACAAACACAAACAGGGGATGGATATATATATATATATATGTATATATGTGCATTGTTCCAAACTCCCTGTTTGACACCCCCAGCCAAGGTGTTGTTAGTCATGCAAGCCGTGGTCACCCCTTGGTGCTGTGGGATATTCAGTGACCATACCACAAAGAACCCAAGCGGCAGGTGCAGGTGAGCACCTGCTTGTAAACATATGGCTAATTCATAAATGACATAGTGACACATGTTAAGAGCAGATGCACAAGAAAGAGACAGAGAGAGAGAGGCACAGAGAAAGAAAAAAAAAAAAGAAAACAAAAAAAAGAAGAAGAAAGAGAGAGAGAGGGAGAGGGAGAGGGAGTGGGAGAGGGAGTGGGAGAGGAAAAAACAATGGAATCCAATGTCAATGTGCTCCTTTGTTCAAATCAACCACAAGATAATCGAACAAGTTTGGTTTGTAGGGGTCCCTATTCCTGGGCATTGGTGCCTTTAGGCCAACTGGGTTGAGAATAGATGGCGTTCTAATCCAGCCGTTTTGCTGAAAGGGACACCTAGGACGCAGGACCCAGAATGAAGCCTTACGTCTCAACGCTCGGGAAACACGTCTCAAGAAGGCCCCCCTGTTTCTTTGTTTGTTTGCTTTGTGTGACTTCATGGGCAAGCAAGTGATGACTAAGAGTTTTAAACCATTAAACATGTAAGGACTCCCTCACCAGGTGCCACAAGCTGTCAAGCTCTTCTCCAGAATCGTTCTGAATTGAAAGACCGTTTTTCGGAACCCGTTCAACCATTCTCTAACCGGGCCAAGGGACATGGCTGCATGCTCCCCCCCCCCCCCAATCCCCACCTGGCTCCAGCACCCCGTCACCTTTCCGGGCCCGGTTTTGGTGGGGATCGAGCTTTGGGTGGAGAGCCCCCCTTGTGTTGGTTGGTGTCAATTTGCAGCAAACTGAAAAGGGAACTACACACACGACTTGGTGCTTGGTAGAGCTTGTGTTGACTTATGGACCCTCTTTTGGTTTAACAGGGGACAGCCCAACAAAGGGACCTCTTCCCGGATATCAGGAAGACATGGCGGTCTGCTTGAGCACCACCACAGGTCTGGTAAGTAGGGGCAACCTTTTTTCGCCGGAAGTGAAAACTGAAGTGAATTTGCAGCAAGTCGAGGTTTGGGTTTGCCACTTGCCTTCTCTCAAGTCCAGAGACTGGGGAAGTCATGAATGTTCATGCCGATTTGCCCACCCTTGACACATCAGCAATCATCAAAGCATTTGAGACCGCAAGGAAGCAAACCGGCGACTTTCAGCTCTGGGGCCCTTGAAGGAATCCAAGGGGTTGCCCTGTGGACCATTCCCATTCATCCCCCTCTCAAGGGGAACCCCTCACATGAAACACGCAAGAGGTCAAGCTGCGCGTGAGAGAGAAGGCAAGTGATCCTTCCACTAACCTGAAACAAGCCACGAGCCCGAATGCAAACTGCTCGCTACCTTTTGGCTCCAAGCTTGAAGTTGGACGACGTCGTGGTGAGATCTACTCTCCCCATCGACAACTCAAGCGACACTCTTGAAGGTGCGGATTCAGTTTAAGCTTTTCTTTGTTCCCCCGTTGTTCGTCTTGGCCAGTAAAATGTTGTATTTTACGGCATTTCTCGCGGAATTGACGTATTTTACACTCGCCCGTCAACATCCCTAGCAATGCTTGCAACATCGCCCGCATGTCTGACCAACATCCCCAGCATCACCACCAAAAAAATCAAGAGGAAAAAACAAGTAGTTGGCGAATTGACGGGGTTGAAGGTTGAAAAAATGATGATTCAAACACGAGGGCATTTCAATCCCTGTAAAAACAAATCTAAAAAGTAGCGGGGGGGGGGGGGGGTTGGGGGCGGCGGCACCCCCCCCCATGACGTTTCGAAGAAGTGATGATTCAAATAGGGGTGCAATGTAGAAAATCTAAAAAGTAGCGCGGGGGTTGGGGCGGCAGCCCCGCCCCATGATGTTCGAAGAAGTAATGGTTCAAATAGGGGTGCAATTAAATCCCTGTAGAAAAGCGAGGGGGTTCTGCCCCCCCCATGATGTTTGAAGAAGCGATGATTCAAGCAGGGGTGCAATTAGAACTCAGTGAATGTTCGAAAAATGATGATTCAAGTAGGGGTGCAAAGCATACAAAAAGCAGCGGCGGGGTTTGATGTTCGAAGACGTGCATACATAAGACATACATACATGCAGACAGACATAAACATAAATATAAAGAACACTTGCCGGAGAGGAGCTGGTGATGCCGAGGATGCGGGAAACCAAAACCAAAAATCAATGAAAGGGTGCCAAAGCCAAAACGCCCGGAGAGGAACTGGGAAAGCAAAGTATGCGAAAAGCCAAAGCCACCAACAGCCGCACAAACCAGCGAAGAGCCGGAAAAGCCAAAACGCCTGCCGGAGGAACTGGGAATGCAGAGGATGCGAAAAGCCAAAGCCAAAAAGCCACCAAAACCCGCATAAACCAAAAGAAGCCGAAAAGCCAAGAAGCCAAAAAACAAAGAAGCCAAGAAGCCAAAAGCTAAAAAAAAACACCTTCAACAAATACACCTCCAATCTTGAATGACACTTGCGCGCGACACTTTTGACTGACACGTTTTGAACCACGTTTATGAGCAACACTTCTGAAAGTCGCACTTGCGTGACACTTGTGAGCGACAAATTGTTCAACAACACTGACGGACTACATGAGTGACACTCTTGCGTGAGGGACACTTCTGAGCGAGACATTCTTGAACGACACCTGCGAGACAAGCTCAAGACTGATGCGCTGTTGCGCTTGTGACGTCAAATAAACTTACCAGGAGCTCAAAATGTTCCAAACTGCTGCGCCAGTCACGAATTCAACTCTGACACTGTTACCACATGCATCCAAAATTAGCACGGGACTGTGGCTCCTGAATGATTGCTTGGCAAGACCTCAAAACGACCACCCTTGAAAGGCAAATCACAATGGCACAGGAATACGAACAGAACACGCGACCTTCCAAAACGCGTCCGCGCAAAGAGACAACATGCAACGCCGCAAAAGACAGGATTCACGGCACAGGCGCAACGAATTCAGCGCTTCAAGATTCATGAAAACATCGTGTTCCGCGGCACTCCCAGAGGCGCGGCAACTTTTTCCACACGCGCGCCGACAAAAGCGAACGCAGTCGCTTGCCACACGCGAACCGAGCGAACGCGACCTTACCCCCAGATCCCTCTGAATAACGCATTCACCACACATTCAAAAAAAAAACATGGCCCGAGTTTGCCTGATTGAAGGAACCCTTTCTTGCATCTGTTGGCGAAATGGGGGACATGCTCGTAGCTTCAGCCTATGGGTTTCGCTTGAAAGGCTTCTGTTGAGCTGTCATAGGCCCAACCTCTCCAAGTTGGCCCGCCCCCCTCGTCTTATTTCCCCAAATGAGATCTCAATTCAAAACCAACTGTAACATGAATTCCCACCAAGCTTCAACCACATGCCGAGTGGCACCAACCCTCTCTCGAACATGTTGATAGTCAGACCTCCAGTCATTTGGTTGCTTGCGTTGTTTGGATGGCTGGTTTGGAGGTTTGCAGGTACCTTCCCCTTAAGTGATAGCAACAACCATGCATTTACACGCACAAGCCACGAATTCAAGCCGCCAAGCAAGGGTTGCCTGGGACAAGGTAGACCGCAAATAACAACCCCTCCCTAGACTCGGTCATAGTTGCTCGACTAAGAGGAAACACAAAAGATCCGAACAGCTGTGGCATACACTGCGGAAGTAGCAAGGACAATATCGTTGCTACCCAAAGCACTATTTCGAGTCATTGTCCAAGGACGTACTCCCAGAAAATTGATACAGCTCACTTCCTTAGTTTCATGGCGTGTGAGTGTGGATGGCCTTAACAAGTGCACACTTCCGGTTAAACTCAGGGAGTGAGGCAAGCACGCTTAGAATGCTTCATGGCTTTCAGCTTCTGCCAACGACCGACGGAGCTCGATGAATGCGCCTCCGGATGATCTCCGGGACTCAGTGTGCTGAACCGGCATCAGCGCTTCCCCTGAGCCTGTCAGCGGCTCTGATCTGTTCCGATGATTTCATGAACCCGGTGAGCCATGTCTAACTGGATTTGCACCGAGAAACACCAGAGACAAAGCACTTCAGCGCCGTGGTGCAGAGTGGATCTTTTCCTTTCTTGAGGCTATGGGCCGCGCAAAAAGCCGAAGGGAACACCAAAGGAAACCGAAGGAAAACCAGGGGAAACCACGGGACGACCACCAAGTTTGGTGACTCCCAGACTTGTTTCAACTAAGTTTGACCCTTTCAGGACATCACATGGCTATGTCACAATCAGAATCTGGTATTGACGTGGTCTACCCAAAACTATGCAAAGAATCAAGGCTTGGGACTGTTGCTCATGTGCGTTGGCTTTCCCGGGCGTTGAGCCATTTGCTCAGGTGATCGTCGGGCTAGGGGCCTCTGGGAAGGATGAGTTGTAGTCCGCAAATTTCCATCGTCAGGCTCCCAATGGCCATAGGAACAAAAGAGCGCCCTAATTTGGTGCTGGCAACGGAGGGTTAATCATTCCAAATTAGTCCCTCCCAATACTACCAACTTGAAAAAGTTGCACTCCCCCCTTCCCCTGGCCCCAGCAAAAGAGTTGTACCCCCTTGAATTGGTCCGGCCCTTCCCGAAACCTCCAAAATTCAGAGGGGTGTAAACAACAAAAACCGTTCATCCCTCGCCCCTAGCAGCCAGGAACATTGCATCATCCATTTTGCTGGCTCATTGCGTTGCATCCTATTGTCATTGGAACTGTTGATGCAAATAGCTTGCCTCAAATGAAAAAAGAGGGATTCTGCAATTGCAACTGTTTTGCTCACATGTGTATAAATAAGTAACGAATTGAGAAAATCACGTGAGGCACCCCACACACACATGCCCACCCCACCCGACCCGACCCGACCCGACCCCACTCCTCCCCAAACCAAAAAACAAACACAACTGATCCTCCCAAATGAATCTGGCCATCTGCCCCCCACAACAAAATGCTGTTACTACAGCAAATGGAACGGCAAATCCAACAAATACTAAATCAAATCAACTGAAATCCAAAGTAAATCTCAACACGAAGATCCAGCAACACTAAATCAAATGGAAAGTAGAAATCCAAAAAATACTCAATCCGATGGAAACTCAGTTCCAACAAATACTAAGTCAAATCAATTGCAGCAGCAATGGGCAATCACCTTCCAGAAATGATCAAACAAATCAATTGCAACTCAAATCAAAAGGAAGCTCCAGCAATACCAAATAAAAATACACATCCAACACATACTACATCAAATTGAACATCAAATCCAACAAGCACTAAATCAAATCAGTTGCAACAAAAGCAAGCTCCAGCAGCACTAAAGCAAATGGCAAGTCAACTCCCACAAATGCAAAATCCAGTGGAGACTAGATCAATTCGTTCAACAACTTGCTAAACCAGATCTCAAAAGGAAGATTCAGCAATACTAAAAACATGGACTGAAGCTCCTTTCGCGATCATTTTGGAATTTTGGAACTCCCAACATTGCCCAATACCAAGAAACCTTTACCTTCTGGACATTCTGATGGGGGGCGGGGGCGTTACTAATCCTATTACTTAAAGGGGACCGAACTCATTAAAGGGAGGTCTGCTTCTCCGGGTCCCAGTCGCTAAAGCCTATCTTTGAACAGTTGTCCTTTTCTGCCTCTCCTGAATCGCCTACATCCAAAAACCGCCCTTCCCGAGCACTCCAAATCCATCATCCCCCCCCCCCCCCAGGGCCTGACAATAATGAAAAACGTCTTTCCTCATGGACGTCTTGGACGTCGTCAAGAGCACCTGAGCACGTGTGCATGTCTGTGTCAGGTCTTCTTTGTCAAATAATGCAAGCATGCGTGCGTGCGTGTGTATGTGCGTGCGTGCGTGCGTGCGTGGGCGCGTGGGTGCGTGGGCGCGTGGGCACGTGGGTGCGTGGGTGCGTGGGTGGGTGGGTGGGTGGGTGCGTGCGTGCGTGCGTGCGTGGGTGTGTGTGTGTGTGTGTGTGTGTGTGTGTGTGTCTGTGTGTCTGTGTGTCTGTGTGTCTGTGTGTCTGTGTGTCTTGGTGTCTGTGTGTCTGTGTCTGTGTTTCTGGGTGTCTGCGTGTGTGAGTGTGTGAGTGTGTGAGTGAGTGAGTGAGTGAGTGAGTGAGTGAGTGAGTGAGTGAGTTGAGTTGAGTTGAGTTGAGTTGAGTTGAGTTGAGTTGAGTTGAGTTGAGTGAGCGAGCGAGCGAGCGAGCGAGCGAGCGAGCGAGCGAGCGAGGGAGGGAGGGAGGGAGGGAGTGTGTGTGTGTGTGTGTATGTGTGTGTGTGTGTGTCTGTGTGTGTCTGTGTGTGTGTGTGTGTGTGTGTCTATGTTCGTGTGTGTGTGTGTGTGGGTGTGTGTGTGTGGGTGTGCGGGTGTGCGGGTGTGTGGGTGTGTGGGTGTGTGTGGATGTGTGGGTGTGTGTGTGTGTGTGCATGTCTGTGTTTTGTGTTGTGGTTGTATCTGAGCGCAGCTGACCTTATTATTACCAGAAGCCGATTGGGGCCCAAGAACAAGCAATGCCCATCAACCGGCAAAACCGATGAGTCGGCCCACCCAAACCGATATCCTGCTAATATTGTCTGCTCTACGAAAGTTATGACGTATCTGTCCACGGCTAACAAGGGGAGGGGAGGTGGTAAACACCAAGACTTTCAGTGGACATGGTGACAACACCACCTGCAGCTTTGCCAGCCGGTAACGGGACGTTGGCCGAATGTGCGACCAGGAGGAACTCTGACAAACAGGAGAAGTCCTGTCAACCAACCCAAACAACACCGGACAATTTGGGGAGACTGCCACAAACAAGTTGGTCTGCTCTAAATTGGGTGCGTCCTAAGATCCAAAGGCAAGCCAAGAAACAAACTCAAACTCATCTCAGTTGTTCAGTGACCCCGTGAAAAAAAGGGAACCCTCTTTGAGGAAGACCATTTTTAGTGGGGCAGCCACCAAAAAAAAAGGGAAAAACAATTGGTGCCACTGAACAACTGAGGAAACAATCCACCTGAACAGTTCCAATTGGACCTACCAATTGAAGCAACAGCGCAGCCAAACCCATCATGATTCAATACGGGGACATGGCAAAAACGATGGTGATGATGTTTGATGATGATGATGATGATGATGATGATGATGATGACGATGATGTCAACGATAATGATGGTAATGACGGTGATGACCGTGATAGCGATCACGCTGCTGCTGCTGCTGCTGCTGCTGACGATGATGATGATGATGATGATGATGATGATGATGATGATGATGATGATGGTGGTGGTGGTGGTGGTGATGATGCCAGTGAGGACCGCGATGGCAATGATGATAATCATGATGATGTTCTTGCGGGTGTGAGCTGCAGCTCGCGGCTGTTGATGTTTTTGCCGATGCCATTGCTGATGCTGTCGCCGCAGTTACTGTACCCACCCAAAAGAGGGGTCCTCTACTTTGACAAGAGTTCAGTGCAAAAGATTTCCGAAAGATCCCGGGCTTCAGGAATCAGGTTCCAAGAACCAAAAAAAAGTGCACTAGGCGCTTTAGGAAACCTCCTGGCAAGGAGTTCAGGTGGTCTGCCTGGGGCCCCAACCTCCGGATGAACGATGCTAAGAATGAGCAACTGAAAACAAATAAACTCCACGGGTCCCATATCCATTTTGCTCACGAGATGTTACGACTTGACTAAAGACCTTAGCAGCTTTGATAAACATGTAGAAAAAACACTGGGAGAGCAGCACAAATACCCCAGAGTGGACAATCAATTCATCAAACCACAAGATGGTCCCCAGCTTCTTCTGCAGGTGTTGGGTGAGCAATGAAGTTTTTCCGGGAGCAAAGATTAGGCATCTTCCGGAGAGAAAAGCTCCTGTGTGAGGTTTGTTGCGAGGAAAGAACTGAAAAAAACATTTCACTCCACTCCAGTCGCCCAGGCAGAAACCTACGTTGCTGAAAGGGCAACCTACCCGCACCGGCAGACTCTAACTTACATTGGTCAAGAAAACGAAACGCCCCGAAACCTGCGGACATTCAGAACAAAATCCGAAGTGAAGCCCAAGTGAAAGCCTCTCGACTGAAAAACCTTGAACCTCTGCCGTCCAAGCCAACCCTTTTCCCCCCCGGAACCCATTTAAAGAGCCTTACTAGAAAGGAGTCAAGGGGCACTGCTGTAGATTAATCAGTCATCTTGCACAGGATGCATGGGGACCCTTGTCCGCCTCATATACACCGTCAAACCAAGGATTCACCGTTTCCAGGCCTCTCAGTCACTTCCATTTGCTTAAGTCCCCTGGAAACAAAAAACATGTCCAGTAGTCATAGCTCCCGTTTTAAATCCAACAGGTGAACATTTGAAGAAACCAAACTAAGCAACTGGAAGGTCAAGCCAATGCAGGTCAAGTGGCTAAGGGCAGCCATGGCAGGCGCACCATCCCATGTAAACTGAAAGCCGAAAGGCCCCAAGGCACGGGTACTTTCCAACCATTCTTTTCAGGGATCCGTCTGGAAACCCTCAAAAACCCAGAGAAACAGCTGGTGATTCAAAAGAACGATGCTTGAAAAGAACGGGGAATCAACCCCCAGAAAGATGCTGGGTGTTTGGAAGATTGGCTCACACCTTGGTGGCTGCAACGGCCCCCCTGCAAAAAGCTAACTTTTTGGGGGTTTAGTGGAAAACCCATCGATTTCCCAAAAAGTTCAAGTCTAAAGATCCAACCCAATAGCAGTCAAGACACTGGGGAACTTGTCAAGGGAAACGACCAGGAAACAAACCACACCCAGCTGCAATATCCCCCAAGGTGCCCGGACATCACAGGATATGAACCCGTCTGCTAGGGGATGGAGGGGCGCGTGGTCCATCCCCTTGTGCTCAGACATGGTTTGCCTCTGCACACCGTGGGCATGTGGATCTGGGTTGGAAGCGGGACACACGCAGCTTCAGCGAGCGATCCATGTAGGCCTTTGGGTGAAATTTGGCCATCCCTTTCTTCCATTTGCAGAAGTTTTGAAGGTCCACAGAACAGAACCAAATGCTGCTGCTTGCATGGGGACAGAGTTAACCAACCCATTTAGAGGTGCCTAAACTTGAGAAATTGCAGTACTCTCGCGCGTGTCAAACCCGCAGCCGGGGCAACATACTGACCCCCGATAAACAAGAAATGGCACTTGACAATCAGAAGGCTCTGATGATCTGAGCGGGCACTTGTCTCTTCCAGGGAACCGCAAACCGCGTAGCAGCATGTGCGTTTCCAAAGGGTGAATGACTGCAAAATCGTTGCTACGACTTCAGCCAAAGATGCAAGGATCCCCGCAAACTTCCGAATGAAAAGCAGCCCAGTGTTACCACCATGTCTTGGCCGCAAAGATGAGGCGTCCCTGAGCCAGGGATCTAACAACGGATGTCGATCGATCAACGGATGTCGCTTTTGGGCGGAATGCTTTAGGAAGGTGCAAGTTGAAACCCGCGCGCCGCGGCCTGCGACCGTTGCCTCAAGTCTTTCCATGCATACACGCCCGCCCTGCGCGACAGTCCGACAGCCCATCGCCCAGGGCTGCCGCAATAAGCGGCAAAGAAGACCGTGGAAGTCGAAGAACAAGGAGGACCAAACCTGCCATGTCGATTTCGGAAAACTCCTCGGTGTCTGTGGGTGTGTGTGTGTGTGTGTTTGTGTGTTTGCGCTTGCGCGTTTGTGTACGTGTGTGTGTGTGTGCGGAGCGTCAGACCAACCCTGCGCCTGATTTCCAAGCCGTGCCAGCCAAGCCACGGAAATCAGGTGGATGAGATGCTGGACGCAGCATCTTGTACCGGCCATTTGTGATTCCGAAAGTCCTTTTGGCCCCTTGGTTTTTCGTGCTGTGTGTGCTTCATGTTGAATCGGGCAACGTTTTCATGTCTGGATGGAAGCCATCGGTCTCGCCACTCGAAACTTACCCAGCCCAACCCACACCGACTCGACGACAAGTACTCTCCCTTGGGAGTCTAAGTGTGTGTGTGTGTGTGCGCGCATGGATTGTGTGTGTGCGCGCATCTGCCTGCATCTGTATCTGAGTGTCTGCATGTCCATGCTTGTGTGCGTGTGTGACCTGCATGGACAGGCAACCTTAGCCCAGAAAAGAAATTGGCCACCGCCTCAAGATATCAAGGGAAAGTTTCTCTGAAAGCTTCGGGCTGAAACAACAAAACCACTGGGCAAACTGGACAAGTGCAAGCTTCTGTCTTTTGGTCTTTGGGTTTGCCATTTGGGCGTGGTTTTTTGATGCTACCTTTGCTAGGTTGATTAAGGGGACACCAAAAGATGCCACTATGGCCCCCCAAGACCCACTTGCCTCTCCCATGACAAACAAAAAAGAGCGGACGTCCGCACTCATCTCTGGCATGGATACGTCTCTCGAATCCAATGCGTCTTGAGGATTGAAGCATACCATTAGCCAAGCTCGGGGTTTGAGAGCTTTCTCCTGAATCAACATGGAGCCACAGCAAAACCTACATGTTTTCAGGGGCCCTTGTCTTTCGGGATGACTAAACATGGTCCAAAAAGGTGAAAGCAAAAGGTGAAAAGGTTGACTTGCTGTGAGCAGCTGAGTATGAAGCACCCAACACCCCCAGCCCAACACCGGCGTCCCGGAAATCTTACGCCTCGTTGGGCCGCGGGGGCAGCGTGGGGTGATTGGCGCAGGGCAGCAAACTGGGCACCTCAGCGTGGATTTCCCATTCGAAGGTTGCCATTTGTGGTGCTCCCTGGAAACGATCGCCGCATTTGGAGGTTCCAAAAAGGGAAAGGGCTCTGACACCCAGAAAAACCCCAAGGTCTTGAAGAATTGAGGAAAGGACAAGGAAGCCGAGCCATTTTGGGGATGGGAAGCTTTTTTGCACCTTGATGGTCGCAAGCCTATGGTGCTTGGGTGTTTGGCTGTAAGCCCTTAGCCAGGGCTGCAACCCGAGAACCGGCTGAACTCTTCTTTGGCACTGGCTTCAGTTCGGCGCTGCCACCAATGTTTCAAAGAAGACAACTATACTTGGTTGTTTGGCCGCACCACCTGCTGTCAAATACAAGCAGAAATGCCTGATCAGGTTCAAAACTAAAAAGTACAATTGAGTCCAAGTGAACCAAATGATGTACCATTTTGATTCAACACTCAAAGCAAACCAACCGCAAACAAAACACAAATTGCGGTGCCCAATAGTGAAATTGCGCGTTCTCTTTCGAACCGGAACCTTGACACCCTTGTATTTGGTTTTTGCAGATTGCCAGCAAAACACAAATCATAACTAAGTCTTCTAGTTGCAGCGCTACTAGGACATGGTACACCTGATGCGCGAACTTTGCCGAGCAATGCCGCTAGGGTTTTATCTAGGGCCCATCCTTTTTTCCCAGCCAAAAGCTCACAGGTAGGCCAATTGAAAAGCTCACAGGTAGGCCTGACAAATTGCAGCTGGGGATGTTGGGGGTTACTTTACCACCATTCAGTCAGGTTCTTAGTACGCTATCAACACGATAGAGGCCCTTTGTGTTGGTTGCAATCGAGTTGTTTTTTCCCCTTGGCGCTGCTAGCTGCGCTGCTGTTAGCTGTCGAACAATGCAGTGACCCACGCAAAGACCGGCAGGTCGATGGCAGTCTCGGGGTCTAGGCGCTGAAAATCTTCTCAGGACGAGGCGTTGGCAACGTAGACGGCGAGAATGTCGTCGTTAACCGAGGGCTTTGGCGCAATCAGCCCCACCAGGCCCACATTGAAAAAGGTGAGCCATGGGTGTTTCAGGAATCCTCACAGTGGTTCTCCGAAGTGCCTGGAAGGGCTGATCACCATCCCCAGTATCAGCCAGGGTGTGTCCTCCAGGTGAGGTGACCCTCCTCGCATTGTATTATCCAGGAAGCATGGCACAAACAGTGTCCCAACAAAGGAATGTGGCTTCGTTTGGCTTTGAAAGCAAGTCAACCTCCCACCAAAAATCCATCAATTCAACCAACCCCCCCCCCCCCAATTCGACCCTGAAAACCCACAAATTCCACCGAACATCAGCCATCTTTCGACCCTCCACACTGAAAAACCCACCAAGTCCACCGGAGGACCGCACGGGATCTTCGTTGGGCACCGGGCCACGTGGATCCCGTGCCCCGGCACCAGCAGGTCGAAACGGTGCAGCATGCGCAAGAGCACCTCCTGGTGCCTCAGCATCTCTGAGGTTTCGGAAAAAATGATTTCGACCGGTTTCTAAAGACCCGCCTTTCGAGGGGAACTGGACGGGTGTCTAAAGGGGAGTTGACTGGACTGGTTTTTCTGGGGGGAATCTGCTTCTCTGACCACTTGCTGGGAAAAAATGCGAGAAAAAATCCGCCGAGCGCAAGGTCAGAGGCAAGATGGGCGTTCGGATTCGAAGGGTAAATAGCAACAAATCATGGGGGTTCACCACACGGTTTCAATTGGTGTATATATGTGTATATGCCGATTTTCTGAGACCTGAAGTTTAGGGGTCTTGAAAGGGAGACAAGAAAAAAGCAAAAAGCAATTCCTCTGCAGTAGACTCCTTGAATGCTAGGTTTTGATTCTGACTTACATGTGGCGTTGATTGTCTGTGGGTACCCTTTTGAAGGTGTTTACATATTTTGTTCTGCATTTTTGCACTCCCCCTTATGTTGACACGTAGCCTTCCCGTCCCCCTGGGTTTTGTAGTTAAATTTTGGGCTCTCCCCCGTGGTGGAACTCTTTTGGATGGCGTTGAAGGGAAACCAAAAGGAACCAACCACCTGGAGAAATCAGCTTCCAATTTTGGGGAAAACATGCGGTGAGTGTCAGGTGTTTTCCTTTATTTTCCTTTAGGCTCAGCACTTTGTTTGGTATGAAGGAGAACTAAAAGGAACAGTCCCAATCACATAACACCTTCCGAGCTTGCCCCCCATTCCCCGCAGCCAGGCCAGGAATAGCATGCTCAAGACGCTCACAACAAAAACAGGAAGCTCCTGAAGACACGCTTCGTTTCAAGCACTTCCTGGACTCTGGACGCCCTCGCAGACCCCTGCAACCGATCACCTCTGCCACAGGATCCGACGGTGCTTGATCTTTGGTGAGTAGAACACTGGAACCAAACATCTGTGGTCACTGAAAGTGTGAGGGAGAGAGAGTAGGAGCAAAACAAGAGGGCTATTTGTGCTCTTTGTATACATTTGTGTTGAAAATGTATACAGACAATATGCACAAATATACATATCATATGTACATTTCATATGTACATATCATACGTACACTCCTTCGAGGCTAATCTAATACAATATATTTGTTTGTAATATGTTGATGCGTTCGAGACAATGAAGAAACATACGTGCCTGTTCTAGGTTGTGACCACCGCGCGGATGTCAGTGGCAGATGTCATGCTTCGCACGCTGGCATCGGTCGATCAACTCGCAGTACTGAGCGCTCCCCA